AGACGATCGCTCAGGCCTTTGATCTCCTTGACGTCGCTCTGCTTGGCACTCTTGATGATGTTCTGCACCTCGAGCTTCAGTTTCTCGTAAATTTCCAGGGAGAAGGTGTCCAGGCCCTGGACGCACTCATCACACATTTGCTGCAGCGCCGCGTGATTGCCCTTCGAGCTGATCCACTGCAGCAGATTGAGCTGGTGCTGCTGCTGCTGTTGCCTTGAATTGGAGGTTTCCTCTTGCTCCTCTTGTTCGTGGCCCATTTTCAGTTTCTTGTTGGGCGATGTACTGCTGCTGCTCTTCTCCACGCTCTCGCCCGACTCCCCCACCTCAGTCTCCGTTTCCGGCTGCAGCTGCCCAACGTCCTCGTCAACGTTGTCGTTGCCGAGCAGCTCGTCAAAGCCATGGAAATCGGCCTGGGCCAGCGCCATCAGCGCCGGCAATATGGGTATGCGCGCCAGCTGCTTGAGATCATCGCCAAAGTTGCGCAACAGCTCCAGGTAGCTCTCGCGCTGCTCCAGATGACGATCGAAGGCCAGACAGAAGTTGTGAAAGCGCTCACTGAACTCGCTCGTCAGATCCTCCATGTTGGCCACCACCGCGGACCAGCCCTGCTGCTGCAGATGCTGCTCGTGCACCAGACGCTCGCACAACAGCTCCTCTTTGCGGCCCAGTTCGCGCAAGCGCTGCGCCAGCGTTGCACGTTGACGCACCGTCTCCAATACAGCCGGCTGATTCTCCTCCACCTGGCGTCGCAGCTCTGCATCTATCACTTCACCGGCTGTCCTGGCAGCGCCACTGCCGCCGCCACTGCCGCTGCCGCCGCTGGCTATCGTTGGCGCCAGCCGCTCGTCGCCGGTGAGAAACATAAAAATTGGATTCGTATCGGTGCCCGCCGAATAGCAGGACACCTGTGTGGAGTGTGTCAGCATCTCGCCTCCGCTAACCAGCAACACAATATTGGCAGCGGGCAGGCCATGTAGCCGTTGTATTGTCTCCTTAAGATTCTCCACCGAGGACAGAGCAACGGTCATATCGAAGCTCAGCATGCGACCGACGTCCACATGGAATACGTACAACATCATGAGGCAGCAGCTGTCGGTGAGGGTTTGGGCTTCAACGGTTGCTCTCCTCCTCCTCCGCCACCTACTTCTACACTTTGCTTCTTCCTCTTCTTCTTCTTGTCTCCTCTTTGTTTGGCAGTGCTAATGCTTTCCGAGTTCATGCAAGTGCATGTGCATGTGTGTGTGTGTGTGTATGTGTGTATGTTTGCTTTACGTGGTGCTGCCACCTAGCGTTAAGAGGCTGCAAAACAAGGCAATAAAAAGAAAGAGAACGTTAACAGTGGCGCAGTTCTGAGGGGGTTATCATTATTTTATTGTACTATCTGCTTACATTTATTTGTAATTAAATAATAATTATTTTTCCGACTTCACGTGCACATGCTAGTCGCCATCGGCGTATCTACAATTAACATTTAACAGACACTGTTAACATGATCTAATGCTAGCGATAACATGCCAGCTAGATTAGACACTGTGGCGCTGCTGGTGGCGGGCAGCAGTTCAAATGTTAATGACTAAACGAACGCTGCCGTCGACGTCGCTGCTCGCCTTTTAAAGTCGCAATAAAGAACTAGTTGTTTTTGTGGCTGTTTATTCAACTCGAGTTGTTACATGTATATAATACATATTGTTTACAATTTGTCTGGCAAACTTTGGCGCTTGTGCAAACGTGGACGGAGCGATAAGAAATTAATACAAAAATAGCGCCGATTTGGCTATGTATGTAAATTGCACACGGGAACAACAACAGAAACAACGGATGTTATTATCAACGCACCTTAGTTAAGCCAAAAACAAAAAACGTCTAGACTTGCGGGCGTAACAAACAGAACTAACAGACGTCGACGTCGTCGCCAACGCCGCCGACGCTTACGACGCTGTTAAGAGCAGGGCTACACGTGTGCGCGATCCCTCAACTTAAGCGCGTGTGAGAGAGAGAAAGAGCAAAAGAGCGAAAGCGAGTTAAAGAGAGATGGAGACGCGTTTTGTATTACCTGCGACGTCTTTTGCTGCCTGTTTTTTTTTTTCTTTTACCTAAGCGAATTTCATAATTTTTGGAAAAGAAACATCTTTTCTCAAAATTGATTTATTAAGTTTAAGTAACAAGAAAGACTCACTAATTAGGGGAAATATTCATTTTTGTCCAGGGGAAAAATGCCGAAAATTCCCCTGCCTGAGTTCCCTTAACTGTTTAAATAGTATTACGCTTTCAATTGAAATAGAAACTGCAGCAGGAACAACAAAATGACAGCTTTAACTTTCGATTACTCATCAATGAAATTCAAGATCGCCCCACGGTGTCCACCTGATAACAGCTTATCAACGCAATTAAGTACAAAGACCATGCATACGCACATACATACATACATATGTATGTATGCACAAGCATGTACATGTGTATACAATTGTACATACCTGTGACATGCAATGTAATTAAAGCGCATAAATCAAGTTCGCTGTACAAACAGCACCAGATAACAGCTGTTAGCGCAGGGTTGGGTGATTTGCAGATTGCCCTGAACTTTGTGCGTTGGGGTCATTCGGCAGCATCTCCGCAGACTCCTAACTGATTACATTCCGTATTAAGCTCAAAGCAAGCAACAACAACAGCAGACGACGTCGACGACAACGGCGACGTCAGAGTTTATCGGCGTTGCAGGAGGGCAAAAACAGCAGCACGAAACACTCACACAAGCATGAACACACACACACACACATATATATATAATATATGTATATGTATATATAAACATTTACACGCACGCACAAGAGTAGTCATTAATTAGGAATGTCACATTCTGTTTTTGTACGATTGTATATTTTTTGCGTTTTTGTTATTGTCCTGCTGTTAAGTAAAGTAGGTTATAAAGCGTAAATATTGTTATTATTGGTAATGGCCAAACATACACACACAAAAGCATGTAAGTTAAACAAGCAGAGCCTACTTAAGCTAGTACGCTCGCGAAACTTCAAGGCAAAAAAAAAGTGCGATAAACAAGTAAAATAAGATAAACATGACAGTTAGTTGCTAAGTTTTACCGAAAATTATGAAGACCTTGCTTAAACCCGTCGATACGCAGCTGTTTGTGAACAGCTGATGCGCGCGATCACATCACGATTGCATTACATTAATAAAAGCAGCAGTATCAGCCAGTTTTGAAGCACATATGATATTTCTGTCGCTGGGTTGGCAGCACTGGCCATCACAAACTGCACTATGCACTTGTATGCGTACTCATTTGCTTGTGTTTGTGTGTGCGTTTGTGTATTGTTTTGGCCTGCACTTTGTTATATTCCATTACGTTGCATTTTGTCTACGCGCCGATTGTTTTGGGCTAGCAAAAATGAATTGAGCGAAAACGAAGAGACACAGAGATAGGGCAAAATTGACAGTTGCAATTACCAAACGTTATAATTTGTGCGAAAACTAATTTAGATATGCGCTTAAAATATGTAAATTGTTGCAATTAATTGTAATTTGGCTCGAACCAACCGACGCACACAAACAAATAACAACAGCACGAAAGAAACAAGGGTTGCCTGACGTTCAAAAAGAAAATGGCAGCAGGTGCAGAGCTGCATTTGGTTTCACAGTGTTGGAGCGGGAGTGGGTGGGGAGGTAGGCATGTGGCTTGTGGGCGGCCATTCGAAATTTATGCAGCAAAAAGGGCGTCATCAGCAATGTGTACTTGTTTGCATAAACTATAACTATAGATGCTTAATTAAAACGATGTGGTAGCTGCTGGCAGCCTGCCTCGCACTTACCTTGTAATCTTTAATCAATTTTCACAATGGCTGGCCTGTGTGTGTGTTTTTGTATATATGATTGTATTTGTTTGTTTGTTTGTGGTCTGTCCGTGTACGTGTGTTTTGGTTTTAATCAATTGAAAACGCTCACGAACACGAACGCTGCGAATGATTTGACATCAGCTGTGGCTGTGTGTGCCTGTATGTGTGTGTGTGTTTGTTTGTGTGTGTCCGCAGCAGCAGCGACGTTGACGTCGGAACCCAAAACAAAAGCTGCTGGTGGCCAGCTTTAGCTTCTCCTTCTGCTCCTTCTTCGTAGTTTTCTGTTCTCTTAGCGTCAGCGCCAGCGTTTTCGCTTTTCCTTTAATTATGTATATTCTTATTTATTTTTTACAGCATTGCTTTTGCCTGTTTATTGCTTTTTTCCTTATTTTTTTTATCACTTTTTGTTGCGTATAAAAAAGAAATCAGAGCAATATGTTAAAGCTGCCCAAACTCACGCGATATGCCTAATATTAAAATATGTTGCGTTTTGTTTTTGTTTGCGTTATATTATTTTGTTGTTGGGCTCTTTGCTGTTTCGTTTTCCCCTTCTTAATCTATTTCTTTGTCTATCACAATTGCGTTGTTGTTGCTGCTGCTGATGTTGTTGGTGTGCTGGTCGCTGCTGCTGTGGTTGTTGTTTTTGGCAGTTATATTTCGCGTCAATTTTTTGCCATGTACACGCTGTGCCGTGGGGCTCTTGTTAGTTTTTATTATTACATTAAATTCACACACGCATATTGTTGAATTACTTAAATTTCTAATTAAATTAAATTGTATAAAAATGAAATAACGCACTTTCGTAGTTCCGCCGTCTTCTTCTTCTGTATTATAACAGCGACTATTACAGCGAAAATAACATTAACATTTGGTAACCTGTTATTGACATAGATCAAAATTTATAATTGCCTCAACTTGTTTGTAGGTAAATAAAACTATTTGCTTGTTTGTATACCATTTGAATATTTTCTGTGAAAATCAGTGTGAAATTATCTCAGACCAAAAAGAGTAAAAATATATTTTTCTAACTGAAATTAAAAACAGTTTGTTTTAAAAATCGATTTACAAAATCAATTCACAATATACTGCTATCGATACCTACTAATAACGTATGTCGTGAGCGAGTATTTCATCAGTCACTCGTTAACGGCGATATTGCTCTCATCTCTAGCAGTTAAAAAAGTGCAAAAGCAGCAAAGTGAAAAATTTTATAGTGCCTCGTTTTTAGGAAAAACTTGGCAATAAAAAGTCATAATATTATTAGTTTTAAGTAGATCTACCACCGTGGTGACGATTTCGTTATAAAATAAACATAGATACCATTTTAGCGGCAGAGACACACACACCTTTGAAAAATCGTCATCATCGGATTTAGGCCAGGGCAACGGGCGGGGAACACACACAAATTTCACGTACACACAAACGACACACACACACAAACGACACACACACACAACACACACACACACAACACACACACACACACATCCTATAAACACATACACACAGGATTCTAACTTTATAAATAGTTTATATATTTTGTTTTTTTTTTTTTTATATCATTTTTACTATTTGTATTTTACCCTAATTAAATTATATAAAAATAAAAAAAACACATACAACAAAAATACCCTATAAAACAATGATCAACATTCAGACTATAGAAAATGTTGCGGACTGCACGCCGCTGTATCTGCCGCACAGTTTGTACCTCAAGCCGTTGGCAAAAATGCAAATATCAGTTGCATTGCCCGAAAAAATCAAAACCGGAAAATCCGTTTCCAACCTAGAGATAATGGATAAACTCAGTGCAGAACTCAAGCCGGATAAATTTTTGGTGCTTAAGGTAAGTGTGGCTGGCGAGAAGAGAAAGGAGAATCGATGTGTTCTTTGCAGCTGGTATTAACTGTTGTATCTTTTTCAGGTCTCCAAGAGCACCGTTAACTACATACGTTTCGAGGCGGAGCTGGACGAGCGCAAGCGCTTACGTTTGGCCATTGAGCGCTTGGACGGCGTTGCCTTGCGCTTGTCTGGCTTCAGTGACGCCTTTCGTGTGCGCTGCACCGAGACTAAGGATGAGTTTCCCACCCGCCACGACTGGGACTCATATTTTCGGGATGCCCGCAACATGGACGAGATGAAGGCGGGCGAGCGACCGGACACTATACATATCACGCACCTGCCCATACGCTGGTTCTGTGCGCGCCATGCCGAAAACGACGAGCATGTGAAACCCAGCGAGAGCATCTTCAAACGCATCTTCGAGAAGTTCGGGCGCGTGCGTACAGTTGATATACCCATCTGCGATCCGTATAGAAAGAGCATGCAGTCGGATATCAGCGGCATGAGAACGTTTAGCTTTGAGCAGGATGTGCTCTTTGAAGCGTGAGTAGCCGCATCAATGGAGGATTTACTGTAGTCCCTAACTGGTTACATTTACAGCTATGTGCAATTCGAGGAATACTCGAGCTTTGTGCGTGCGATGGACGAGTTCAGGAGCACCAAGTTGGTGCGCAAGTTTGTGGACAAGACACAGGCCATCAACATTAACGTCAACTTTGACAAACAGAAGCATCTGAGTGATTCGCACGTACAGCGGCGCGAGCGCATGCGGAAACGCTGCATTGCTAAGGCTCAGGCTGAGGATGAAGAGCGCGAGCGCGAAAGAAAGAAACAAGCGGAGCTGGAGGATCGCGAAAGGTTTGACTTAAATCATGTTTGTGTACGCAGGCAGACAATGAAACCGAATGCTGAAAATTAAAACAATAGCAAGCCGATTGCAACAGCCGGGCTAACTAGTTAAGCGAAATTGTCATTGTCAGGATAGCGCAGGAAACAGTATCTATATAAAACCATGTGCCCAAATACCAAACCCAAATGCAAGGCATTGGTTCGAGCCGTGAAGCTAATCTATCTTACTTTATATTAATCCGTATTAACGACTGCCAATTGCCATTTCCGTATGTCCTTTCATCCATATGTCTTTTTCTAAACTAAACTCAGTCTTAAAGCTATCCTGATAAAGTAGGCACAATTCGTCAAGAGCACACAAGATACCTTAACTAAATTCAGCAATTACGCACTTGCTTTTATTTGTGTAGGAGCAGCATCTCATCTGCATCAAATTATTTGTGATATAGTATCCAATGTTAAGTATGGAAATATTCAATAGTTGGCACTCCAAAAAACACTAACTATTTCTATTCAAACATATCAAGCATTTTAGCTATAGTTTGGATGCTGTTGAAAATATTCGCGTTGCAATTCGCTTTGATTTGAAAGTTCAGTCTTTGGAATTCCATCGGTTTCATTTTCTGTTCCTTAGTTACCTATCTTTATCGTATATATTATATAGAGCATATCTAGTCGACTATTTATCTTCATCGTATGTGTAATAAAGAGCATATATAGTCGGCTATTTGTGGCAAATTTGGCGAGCTACACAGTTTTCTGCCTCTTCTAGACGAAACAATAACAAGTTTTTAGCAAAAACAAAACAAAACAAAAACATGCGCAAAATTGCACAAAATTTACAGGCAAAAGCAAGAACAATTGAAATTAGCCGAGTTGGAGAAACAGCGAGAGCGTGAAGAGAAGCGAAAGGAGAAGCATCTGAAAAAGATACAGGAGCGCGGCCAAGTGGAGATCTCGCAAAAGATACGCATCGAGGAGCGCAAACTGATGATAGCGCAGCGAAAGCTAGAGAGCATACGCATCCTGGAGCAGGTATTCGAGCGGATACAGGTGAGTTGGGCCACAGTTAAACGTAATTCCAACCTTATTTTAATCTCTTCTGCCCTCTCAGCTTAAACAAAAGCGAAAATCGCATAGTGCCCAACATGATGAGGCGAAAGATGTGCAGCGCGGTCGGCTGGTGGAAAAGTACAAGAGTGCCACGGAGAAACTAGTCTGTGATCAGCGCAAGCTTGTCCAGGAGATCAAAAGCAATACTCCGCTCATGGGCCTGCTCAAGAGCAAGTCTAAGAAGAGCAGCGGCACCGCCGCAGCCAGCAGCGAGGAAGAAGGCACGATTGGTAACAAAGGACATAAGGTCAATGGCAGGATTGTGGACGCCAGTGTACCTGCAGCAGTAGCTGCTCAGACGGCCAGTGCCAATGCGAATGTGGTACTCAATCCGTTCAAGGCTGTAACGGCTGCTTTGGCCGCGGGCGCTGTACCGGGCACAGCTGCGGCTGCAGCGTATAATGCGGAGGCAGCCAGCGAATGGATGCAATCGCTTTCCATGTTTGGCTACGGCATGCCGACCGTATTTCCCGGGGCAGCACTATATCGTGCACCCGGTCCACCGCCGTTTCCCGTGTCTAGCAATTATCGCGGCTTTGCGCCGCGTCCGCGCGGCCGCGGACGAGGTCGCGGCATGCGGGGCAGTCGAATTGGCTACGACTCTCACTCCTCCTCCTACTATAATCCCAAGCACTACGATGGCGATCGCTATGACGAAGGCGATGGCGACGATGACTACTACCATAAGTCCTCGCGCGGCAGGTGAGTGATCTCTCTGATATTGGTTGATCTATTTGTATGCCTACGTATATATATATATATATATTTACTATAGAAATCGTTCACGGTCCAGCTCCTATTCGCGCAGTCGCAGTCGTTCGCGTGGACGTCGGTAAGTAGAACTGGAACGGATTATCTTCCATTGCAATATATGTGTAGTCTAATTTGTCGTTCCAGGCGTTCACATTCACGCAGCCGCAGTCGCTCCAATTACCGCAAGTCCTCTTACTCATCGCGCTCCAGGTAGGCATGGGGTTTTTTTTAACGAGTTCTGTTTTGAATATTACTCTCTATGTTTTGCTTAGACGCAGCCACAGTCGTTCACATTCGCGCAGTCGCAGCAAAACGCCGGCGCAGCGCAAGAATCGCAAATTGGCATCAACTCGACGTTCACGCTCCAGCAGCTACTCACGTTCCCGTTCCCGATCCCACACACACTCGAAGCGCTCCAATTCGCGCCGTGAGCGTCGCAGTCATAGCCGTAGTCGCAGCCGCAGCCGCAGCAATTCATCGAAACGCATCGTTCTTGAGGCTGACAAGCTAGTGGCCTCCGCGGAGCACATACAGCGAACCATTGAGCAGCACACCAAGGATCGCATGCGAGAGGAGGTGCGCGAGATAAAACAGACGTTTCGGCATCAGCGCAAGAGCGACCAAACAGATGCGGATGCTCATACCGCCGATCCAGATACCAACCGGTCAACAGCGGAAGAGGAGATAGAGGCAGACGATGAACGTAAAAGACATGGCAGTAGCAAGCGAAGCAGTCGACGCAATTCTATAGCCGCATAGCATAATTTTACATTACATAAATGACACAGTTCACAATAAAATATTAAGTTAAAACCATGTACATTATAGCACCATATCGCTTACAAATTTTTGTCTGCTCTCTTTTAATTTGCACCAATATTCGCTATGGAATTATTGAATATCGCAGCGGAAATGCACCTTGCACCACTTCCGCTCGATAGAATGTGGCGGCGCGCCCAATTGCATTTGCCCCTACAATGAAACTATCGATAGTCAATTAATCGGTTTAGTTTTATCGATGCCGCCCGGCTAAAAATACAAGCAAGCTGCAGTTACAATTTACAATCCATTGTGTTTTCTAATAGTTCTAAATTAATATAAATCGTGTTAAGCTTAATATGGAGTTGACTTTGCCATGCCAAGTAAATATTTGATTCTCTTGTGTGTTTACAGAATGTGTATGTGTGTGTTTGTTGCCGTTGTTGCTGTGTTGGTGCGTCAAGTTGGGTGCTGGACTAAAACCGTCTGTTGTTGTTTCGGCCCCGATTTCGCCCACCGCCGCCTCCCCCTCCACCGCCAGAGCCACCGTTGTTGCCCCGTCTTCGGCGTTGCTGCCCACTGCTGTTGTTGTTGTTGTTGTTGTTGCTGCTGTTACTACTCTTTTGGAACTGTTCCCGATCCCGGTCATTGAAGCTGTCACCTCCATTGTTGTTATAGCCATTCTGATTGGCAGAGCCGCTTCCATTTCCATTGCCATAGTTTGACCAGGGTGCATTGGAGGCCCAGGGATTAGGTCGATTCGTTTCCTCGCGCGTGGACTGGTCCATGGGTGAACCGCTGCCGTAGCTTGAGGGCTCGTCGATGAATTCCGTCTTCGGCTGTTGCGCCTTGACGGTCAGCAGCGACGGCAGGAAAGGCTTCTTTAGCAGCAGGAGCTCACGCACACACACCAGTTGGGCATTATGCTGGCGCGGCTCAAATCGTGATTTTTTGAGCGGCGGCGATACCTCACTGCGTGCCTGCGCCGTCTCCACGGTCGGCGAAAGAGATCTGGAACGCTCTCGTTCTCGCTCTCGCACGGGTACGACATCACGCAACTCCTCCAATTTGCCAGAATCAATGTACTTATTCAGGTACTCGGCGCCCTGCCGAATGGCGCCCATTAGTCGCGAGTCTGGATGCACGCGTATGAAGCGCCCATAGACAAAGACCCCAACGATCGTCTGGGGGTCAAGGCCGTTCAGCATGCCGCTGGCTAGGATGCCTTCGAGCGTGTTTTCGCTGATTTGCTGGTGGGTTAGGCCGTTACTTGAGTCTTTGGACTCACGCGCCGCCAGCTCGTCGTGTATACTAAGCACGCTCGGGTCGTCGGCTCGACGCGGTCCTGCCCATTGCACCTGGAAATTGCGTGGTATGGGCTTGCTGTAGGGCACTTTCTTCTCGCGATCGCGATCGTTAGCCGCCCTGCTGCCGGCATCCAGATCCAGGCCCGGTATGAAGCCCTTGTCCGCCGTTAGGCTTTCAGTAAACTCCACCTTATCCTCGGGTCCCATACCAGGTATCACGGCATCATCTGTGAGTGATTCATAATTAAATCAATTGTTCTTGCTAGAATGCTTCTAGTTACATACCATATTCGCACTCATCTAGGGCAGCTAAGCTGGCAGGAAGTGTATTCAAATTGTACTTGTCACGCATCAGATCTCCAGGTCGGTTGCGTGTCCAGAATTTGATAGTGTGATCATTAGAGCCTGAGCACAGAATGTGGCCTAGCGGATGCCAGGCGAGTGTCCACACTATGCTGTCGTGCGCCGTCTCAACACAACCAATTTCCTTGTCCGTTCTAAAAATTATACAAATTATCAATTAATTTTTATAGAAAAAGCTCTCTTTAAGTACACACAGAATACCTCTAAATACCTTCTTCATAAAGCCCAACAAATGTTAGTTAAACTATAAGCTGATCATCAGTACTTCTTTTAAATATTTCTATACCAACTAATTAAGTACGCTTATAATTATTAGAAAAGTTGTCAAATTCTAAAAATGTACTTCTTATCTTTTTAACCTTCTATTGACTAGATTATCTAAAACACGTAAGTTTTAAGCCGATCGGATAAATTTGAAATGTTATATATTCTATTCAGCTGATCAGAGAAATACTAAACAGACTCTGTCTTCACGTTTTGCCCAATAGTGGAATGAATTATCTAAAAGTTTGTCAGACTTATGCTATTGTAATATATGCTGAGGAAGGAAAAGATTAAGACAAGTTTTAGAGACAGGGTTTTAAATAACAGATCCCAGGCAGGCAAACAATATAAAAAAAAAGTCCTTAAAAGGGGTAATGCTATGTCATTGTTGATAAAAGTAGAAAATCCGCTTGATAAACGCACCCCACGTTCCAAAAGAGTATGGAACCATCCGAGCCGCCAGAGCAGAATAGGCCTTCGTGTATGGGATGCCAAGACACAGAGCTGGCCTCCTTCTTGTGACCGCGAAAAACTTGCACCTCTTCGCGCAGATTACGAATGTCAAACAGTTTGAGCAGATGGTCACGCGAGGCTGTAACCAGCCAATTGCCATTGTCGTTCCATTTGAGATCCATAACAGTCGATTTGTGGGCATGGCTGCAGGATATGCCAGGGTTTAATGAATCAGTAATGAAATAAATCGAATTGTTGAGCGGAACTCTACTTACAGCGTGGCCAGCGCAATGCCACTCTTTGGATCCCAGATTTTAATGGGCTGCTGGTTGTCCTTGCTGCCGCTGACGATCATCGCCTTCTGTGGATGCCAATGCACGCATTTGACATCCGCGCCGTGACCTGCAACCAAGTGATCAGTTAATGGTTGGACTAGGATGGCGGGTTAGGGTTTTGTGGTACTTACCGCGCAACACTCGCTCCTCCTGGCAGCGCATAAAGTCCCAAATGCGAAGAGTTCCATCGTCGCTACCGCTGACAAATTTGCTATCCGTAGGACTAAAACTGCGGTTGGGGTGTTTGGAATGATTCGGAATCGGAGAGACACAGCGAGGTTAGAAATATGGAAACGAAACACAAATATAATATAGATGTGCGTGCGTGTGTGAGTACGTGTGTAATAGAGAAGTGAAGCCTGCAATTGTAATCATGAGCCTCGCAAAAATTTGACTGCCGGCGCGCTCTTTGTCGCTCTCGCTCACTCTCTCCTTGTCTGCCCCTCAGCAGCAGCAGCAGCAGCAGCAGGCGATAAAGAAAACACTCGAACCCCCGAATTTGTATATAAAATGTTTGCTTTTCGCATTTTATTTGTTTGTTGTTGGCCACGGCGCGCAAATAAAATTGTGCAAAATTGTTTTTGATTTTTTTTTTGTTAGTTTGCCTTTATTGTATTTCTGGTATGAATTTTGTTTTGCATATCTTGACACAATTTCAAAAATAATTTATTCAATTGAATTTAATTATTGACAGTCTTTTTAGTGTTAAGGCTAGAAATCACAGTGGTAAATACATTCTTAGAATGGTTATTATTTTTTTTTTTTTAACTTAGTCTTGACTATTGGAACTATACGGGAAAATACTGCGCGCACGGGAATATTCGCTAGCTAAACAGAGAATCGAGAGACCTGGCTTGTTGCTCAAGTTACGGCTTTATTGAGTTATATATTTGCAACAGCCCCCGAAAGGAAACACGAAACGAATCGCAACGAAACTAGCGGCTAACAAACTAACTGCAACTGAACACACGACCCAGGGCCCAGGTGACGATGGCGAGGAGGAGAGCATTAAGAGATTTGCATGCTAAACTGCCACTGCGCAACTGTAAACGAGCTAACTTTGGGTGGTTCGGTGGTGGCCTCATGCTTGCGGCAACAGCGGCTGCGAAATGGTAAATACAATTGACAATTACAATCATTAGGCAATACCTTATTCCCCTAATCGCCTCCTTGTGCGCCTGATACATCTTCACGTTATTCATGTTCGATTGCCAATACTTCACATAGCCGCCATGATCGCCCGTTACCATCCAGCTGTCATTATGCGACCACACCATCGTGCGTACGGCAATGTCGTGGGCCTAGATTAGGTATTTTGTATAAATTTGCTCTTTGCTGATCTGACAGACACTCACCTGCAGAATAGTCTCGAAGTTAAAGGTGAGGCCATTCCAAAGCGTAAACTCGCCGGAGCTGGCGCCCGTTACCAAACGTCTGCCCTCTGGCGTCCAGGCAAGCGTAAAGATTGGACAACGCATTTTGTTTGTGGCCGTTTTGACGAAACGTGTCGTTATCGCATTTGCCGGATTATCCAGAGAGCTGGAGGGTGGTAGCATCTGTGGCACATAAATGCTGTCCGGCTGCAGTGCTAATCGATCCCTATAGTCGCGCTGCCAGAGGCGAGCCTAACCAACGAGAGTTAAACATTAATTGTGTACTAATTATACTCATCTTGGACACTCACCTCCAGCGCCTTGATAATGGATGCATTATAGTCAACCGTTTTACGCATGACGCTCTTGCGCAGCCGCTTGCCATCGAAGTCATCCTGGGACATGCCAAAGGGACGTTGAAACCCACCAGGCATGAAGGGCTTGAAGTGATTATAGCCCTGCTTGCCGGCTCCATGATGAGGGTGGTAGTGTCTGTAGTGCTGGCCGCCCATTGACGGCGGCGGCATCGATGTGAAATTCGTTGCCAGCGCCGATGGCGCCGTCAACAGCTGTGGCGGCGGCTGAGATAGGTCCATGGCTGTTACCGATTTGAGCGCCGTATTTGCTAAATTCTTGCTTTCCTCCTTTAAAGAAAATTTCTTAAGTACGGATATTGTATTAAATTAGCAGAACCAGTTCTTTAGTTCGATTTCGATTTTTGCAGACTGCTACGATTTGTGTTTTGCAATTGTGTTGAAAAGGAAAAACATTGAACTCAGTAGCAACATTTGTTGCTGTATCCGATATTCAAACCGTGCAACAAACAATTAAATTCACATTAGCATAATTGCAACAATTCATATATTTGAACTCGATCGGAGAAAAATGCACGCACACCCATATACACGCAGACGCATGTGAAACGTGTGTAGCTGATTTTCTGCTCATTTTTTGCTGGTGTGTTCTTATCTTATTAACTTACTTGTTGTTCT